TCTCTCGTAAGACACTTATCCAAATGGAACGGAACTCAAATATATATCGAAAGTACTAATTTAATAATAAATAGACACACACATCGGAAAATTAAAAACTCGGATTTTTTGGCGCCGATTGCGAATTCCCATACACAAAAAGTAGTAGTCCACCTTGACTTACCGAAGTATCTACCAATAGTACCAAAATCCGGAATCCGGGACAAACCGGAATCCGGATTATTCCGGAATCCGGGTCCGAATCCGGATCCGGCGGATTTCGCATAAGAAAATCCGGATCCGGTTGTAAAAAACGGATCCGGCACACCCCTACACAGCACCGTCACCTTTCAACTCTTCCATAGGCTGCGTGGTGCATTCAACCAGTATTATTATCATGTGAACCATATATCGCATGATCATATCATTAGTTTTCTGCTGCTTTCAACTGGATTCTCCACTCCGAAAATTTATAAAGATGAAACGGAAAAGTTCATCTCACTCAACAGACAATCGAGGGTTTCTTAGAGGTTCAAAATGTGAAGAATAAATGTTAAAGATGGTAAAGTAGGCTCATCTTGAGATGATGAGCCATCAAACAAAATTTTGCTTTTGGCAATTGTATTTGTTCAAATGATATTGAGATCCCATGACCAAAAAAAAAATGAATTTTCAGTGATGGGGCTTAAGTGCTTGGCATTCTTGGTGAAATATTTAAAACTTATGACAGCCTCATTTCAGTAGTTTGTCAATGATTTTATTCACGTAAGCAGTGCTGACAGATAGTCTCCCACAGAAACTGCTGACAAATACTCTCTTAATGTGATGGACACACAATTATGTTGCGTTCTTATTCACTGTTTGGTAAAAAAAAAATAATTAATTTTTGAGCTTTATTACCACTGAAATTTTTATGTTTTGAACTAATATTATTCTGTAATTGAAAATGGCTGCCATAAAAATTGATGCCTAAAGAATGTTATGATTTCATTGCAGACAAGGCTATGATTGAAAATGTCAAAAAGTGCAAAAACTTTTTGTCCACCTTAATAAAGTTGGCTGCAAATCAGCCAGATCAAACTGTGAGAAATGTTAGAGCACTCATCCAGGGTTTGATTGTAAGTATTTTGTATGTGAGTTATATTGGCCATTTTTTAAGGTTAAAATTTTGTTTCCTGTAGTAAGATTCAAGGTCGATTTAAAACATGTTAACACAGAGTTAAAATATTCACTTGGTATTTTAATTTAATATACCCTGAATAGATGACATACTTTTTAAAGTCATTGTTGAAATTTGCAATCGGCTTAGTGAAATAGAATTTTAGAACTTATTGAAGCCTTAATGTGCAGCTATATAAAACACATGATGAGGTATTTACTACACCTTCTTGTAATTTTCAGGTAGCACAATTATTATGAAAAGTTAAAACCATTCTATTTAGCATTTAGTCTCAATGACCTAACAAAAAAAATTCTTTTATTTTAAAAATAGTGAATAAATCTAAAATTTATAAATTTCCTAGCCCTAAAGACCTAAAAACTCTCTATTGGAATCTGTGAACACTTATTGCATTTGTTTACATTTAGCAGTGGTGAACCTTTAAGGGATTTAATGAGTCCCGGGTTACTGTTGTCAGCCAATTGTAGTAATCTATGAATCCCCTATTAGTTTTGATCAGTTGTGGTTATCTATGAGTATCAAGTTGCTGTCTGCCAATTGTGGTAATCTATGAGTATAAAGTTGTTGTCAGCCAAATGTGATAATCTATGAGTATCAAGTTGTTGTCAGCCTATTGTGGTAATCTATGAGTATCAAGTTGTTGTCAGCCTATTGTGGTAATCTATGAGTAACAAGTTGTTGTCAGCCTATTGTGGTAATCTATGAGTATCAAGTTGTTGTCAGCCAAATGTGATAATCTATGAGTATTAAGTTGTTGTCAGCCTATTGTGGTAATCTATGAGTATCAAGTTGCTGTCTGCCAATTGTGGTAATCTATGAGTATCAAGTTGTTGTCAGCCAAATGTGATAATCTATGAGTATCAAGTTGCTGTCTGCCAATTGTGGTAATCTATGAGTATCAAGTTGTTGTCAGCCAAATGTGATAATCTATGAGTATCAAGTTGTTGTCAGCCTATTGTGGTAATCTATGAGTATCAAGTTGTTGTCAGCCAAATGTGATAATCTATGAGTATTAAGTTGTTGTCAGCCTATTGTGGTAATCTATGAGTATCAAGTTGCTGTCTGCCAATTGTGGTAATCTATGATGGTAATCTATGAGTATCAAGTTGTTGTCAGCCAAATGTGATAATCTATGAGTATTAAGTTGTTGTCAGCCTATTGTGGTAATCTATGAGTATCAAGTTGCTGTCTGCCAATTGTGGTAATCTATGAGTATCAAGTTGTTGTCAGCCAAATGTGATAATCTATGAGTATCAAGTTGTTGTCAGCCAAATGTGATAATCTATGAGTATTAAGTTGTTGTCAGCCTATTGGTAATCTATGAGTATCAAGTTGTTGTCAGCCAAATGTGATAATCTATGAGTATTAAGTTGTTGTCAGCCTATTGTGGTAATCTATGAGTATCAAGTTGCTGTCTGCCAATTGTGGTAATCTATGAGTATCAAGTTGTTGTCAGCCAAATGTGATAATCTATGAGTATCAAGTTGTTGTCAGCCAAATGTGATAATCTATGAGTATTAAGTTGTTGTCAGCCTATTGTGGTAATCTATGAGTATCAAGTTGTTTTCAGCCAATTGTGGTAATCTATGAGTATCAATTTACTGTCTGCCAATTGTGGTAATCTATAAGTTTCAAGTTGTTGTCAGCCAATTAATGAGTTAAAAGATTTATAGACAACTAGAAGGAAATAGTTATTGCACAACAACATAGATTAGATGAAAGGCATTCAAAACTAGCATAGTTTTCTGTATTTTGCTAACTCTCAGACATTTTCCTGACCATTTTTAGGATGGTAGAGTTGAACCTGAGGTTTTTACTGAACGTTTGCAGCATGAACTTCAATCATCTCCTCAACCATATCTGGTCCCATTTCTCAAGGTAAGTCATTTAAATTTATGCAAAGTTAAAAATCAAACTCAGCATAATCAGAAATTAGGACATAAACAATAATGTTCTGAGTCATGCCATTTAACAATTATATTTAATTTGACTTTGAAAATAAAATGATGTAAAGATTTTTTTTTTTTAATTTAATTTTTTTTAAATTTATAAACTAAGAAAATAATGAAGAAGTATACATTTTTAAATGATGTATGGAGCACAAAAACAAGTTAAGAGAAGCTAACAAAAATAAATTTTCAAAATATATATTTTTTTTTTTTGCATCAGAGAATATTTAACCATTATTTTAAAAGACTGGAGATAAAAAACATTTTATACTTGAACTTTAACAAGAAGTTTCTTTAATTACGAAGCAATACATAATTCCTTCCTATTTTGTATAGCCTTGGTTGTAGTGTTTCCTTTCGTAGATACATTTTAAAATGACTTAAGCAATAACTTGTGAAGCTTAATGTGATATATGTTCAACAAAAATAATTTTGTTTTTGAGACCACAATAAAAAAAATTAATTTATGCAAACCTGCCAAGAGGATATACCAAGAGACCAATGTTCTTTTTTTAACTGAATGGTCACAATCATTTCACAATTGTTTTTCAGTATATTGAATACACCTTGAACCATAAACACCCTTTTAATGCATGCGTTTGTGTGCTCGCTGATCCCAGTCCTGCTTTGTTTTCCTAAGTCGTAGTGGCATAGACTCTGATGTAGATTGTAGTTAGACTAGAATAGTGGAACGGCCAATGTTTTTTTCAAAACTGAAGATATCTCATGCACAAAGAAGAAATTCAGACGATTAGTTATGTCTGCTGGGAAAATGGAAGAGAATACTGAATTTTGATAACAATAAATCATGTAATTGTCTTTGTGGTATTTTGTAAAAGAGTTGTACAAATGATAACACAACATATTAGTTGATGGAAACTGGAACGAAATGTCATTCAAATTTTAGTTTTGCATAGTTTTTACTTTTTAAACCATTCTTATTATTATTATTTTTTAACGTTTGATTTTAAACCTTTGTTTGTTTTTATTTAGAACTGTGCTCTGACTCCTCTTGTGGTAACTTGACAACATTTAATGTTGTACTATCAATATTTTGAAATATGGAAGAAAAAGTAAACACATCACTTGTGCTCTCTGCAGTAGACAGTTTTTTTTAAGATGCAGACTTAAATTCAGAAATTGGTTGAATTGGGGGCCTAGGCCCAGAGGCTATGCAAATATTTTTTTTAAAAGTTTTTTTAACAAAATATATATATATATAGACTATAATTATTTTTCATACCACCATCAAAATCTGATAAGGCACATAGGGCTTAACCGGCAGTACTCTGCATTTGAGTCTGTGTCATACGTTTATTATTGTGCAAATGTTCACAGCTGAATGTTTCAGCTTATGATGTTGCATTACCTACCTGCAGCTTATGGTATTACCTCTCTACTGCACAGGTCTATCTGTCGGTAAAATAAATTTATGTTATGTTTGCAATTAACTATATGATATGTGGGAGGGGGGGATACTTAAGGTTACATCTTGCCATTTTATTGCAAAACTACTTCCTCTTGAACCAAGAATGCACTGGGCTTTTTTTTTCTGTTGTAATCAAGGCACCTAGCAAATGACGACTTGAATGACACCATTGAGAAAAACTCTACCTGGAAATAAGAGTAAATAATGTTCCTATTTAAAGACAGCAGCCTCAATGGTGTGCTGAAGAATAGCTTAACAGCTATGCACTTTGTAAAGATCTTTGTTTTTGTTGTGATACATCTGCTTGACAAAGGTCAAAGTTTTCAATAACCGGAGAAATGTTTTTGTTATGATAAATCTGCCTGATAAAGGACAAAGTCTTCAATAATTTGAGAAATAAGATACTGTTTTATTTTACTTTAGTATTCATTATGCTTTCTTTTTTTTAAAAATACATTTTTGCAGGCACTTAATTTTGCTAATATTTTCTGTCAGATTCTCATGTTGCAAACTGTCATTGTGCATAATTAGTCTTCTTTCTATCAGCTGTAAAAAAAATTTTTTTAAAAATCTATACTTTTAAAAATAAAATTGCTGTTTTTTATAATGTGAGATGTCAACTTTGCTAGCTCTTTGTTACCCCTCAAGGAGAGGGCTTTAAAGTTATTGTCCTCTGTCATGTTAAGCTTAGTTTTCTCATTCCTATTTAAGGAAGTTTTTCAAATGTAATTAGCACATTTTTGCCTCTTTATTGAAATACTTAAACTGAATTATTTTAAAATAACCAAATTTTGAAATATATTTTATCTGATATACTAAGAAACATTTGAAACATGTTGTTTTGAGGAAAGACGACAACTGATTAATGAGAAACATGAGATAGGCCATACAAATGGGTTATGAAGTTTAGTATATTATTTTTAGTTTCATTAAATGTGTTTGCTTCCCTTGTTTCATTTTAAGTAAAAATAAATTAAAATTAACAAAGTCATCTATCCTTTCCACAGAAAAGCCTTCCACTCTTACGCCAGTCAATGTTGTTGGGTCGCATGACCATAGATGGGGTAAACCCTCCTCCTCCAGAGGTCGCCGGGCAAGCCCAGCCTGTCTCTGTCTCACAACCAATGACCAGCTCAGTTGTAACGCAGCAAGTAATTACAGCCAGTGGTACCCTAACACAGCGGCCTTTCATGGGTCCTCGACCCATCAATGTACCTCTTCAAACGCAACAAGTAAGACAATGCACTTTTGAAATGGCATTCTTTGATTAGGCACCATTGTCAATTTACTTTCCAATATTGAGATTTTATTTTCAAAGTGTTAAACTAAATGGCTTCATACTTTATTGATAATTTTTTTCATAATAGAAGTTTCATGTTTCGTTGTATCTATAAAAAAAATTTTATGGACCCCTAGTGCCGGTTATTTCTCTAACAGCTCCTAAAAACGTGAAAATCACCAAAATATGGAAGTAATTTGTGGACCAACATCAGACTCATAACTGAGTCTTTAGCTTTCCTACTATACAAGTCAGGTCTGTTTATCTAACCTTTTAATTGTCTTGATGACTTGGTTTTGTGTAGGTACGTCCTTCGTTGGGTCCGTCGAGCAGCAAAGTAGCGCCTGTTCGTCAAACAATGGCCCAAGTTGCGATAGCGCCAGGTGGAAACAAAGTAGTAGTACAGGCATCACCTCAGATTCGACAACCAGTGCAGCAACAGATGCTCAATCAAGTTCGGCCTAAATTGCCTGCCCAGCGTCCATCTGTGCAGGCAATCAGAGCCACCAAACCTATCACACCCTCAACAATTATTAAACCAGAACCTTCAAGTCCCGCTGCTGGACACAGGGAAAAAAGAAAATTTGAATCTTTAAAGTTAGTATAATAAAAGAATAATTCATATATAAAAGAATGTCAAACTTTTATTTATCTGTCTCATTTGTGGTGAAATTGTAACTCAGCTAAGAAATGACTGGTTTGGATTAATTCAGGGTTATCTCCAGCTATGGCTAAAAAGACGGGCAGAAATGTTATTAACCGTGTAAGGCATCTATTCTTTGGGAGGAGCTAAATCTCAGAAAAACAAATGGGTGGCAACAAAATTGATTTGCTTAAAAATGCTTTCATCTTACTAGTTAGGTTAAAGGTCCTGGAATAAATACAGAACATAATTTTTAAAAGTTAACTGTTTTAACCATTTAACTTCCCAGGTCTCAGTCAACAAAAAAATCCACTCAGTCCATATAAAAGGGGAATAACTCACAACAAAAATCTAATGCTTCTTGACTAAAAGCCACAAACTAGATCAAATCAATAGAATCTGTAGAAAAATGAATTGTGTGTCTCTTGAAACCCATGTGCTAAATTGTTACTACAAGTGAAGGAAAATGATGTGGCAATTAAATTTCTGCTAACGATTTATAATTTTTATATATAAAAAATTGAGTTTTATCAATGTGATCCAGATGATAAGATTCAAAACATGTCTTATGTTGTTTATGTGACAGAAGTTATGTATTAATTTATATTTTTTTCTGTAAAGAAAAGCTTTTTAAAATAACTACTTGGATTTTAGTTTTGATAACTTAAAAATGTTGCTGTCTTATAACAAAGTAATTTTTTTTTATTTACAGAAAATTAAAACATAAATTATTCTTTTTCCAGGGATGGTGATGATGACATTAATGATGTCGCAACTATGGGTGGTGTCAATTTATCAGAGGAGTCTAAAAACATTCTTGCAACCACTAATGCAGATTTTATTGGTGCTCAAATGCGGTCTTGCAAAGATGAGATCTTTCTTGCAGCAAGTCCTCTGTCAAGAAAAATAAGTTCTATAGGTAAAAAATTATAATTTAAAGAACATTTTAATTCTTTGATGATGACTACAGCTTTAAAATAGATGACCTAGAACTATTTTGTGTGTGAGTGAGCCACACTTTCCCTTTTTGTAAAAAATAAAAATATATATGAAAAGATTATAAACAGTTATTTTTTTCCTAGTTCTCTATTAATGAGCAGTTGATATGCTAAAATTACACAATTTAGGGATAGTAATCTTTGGGGTGGTAAACCAATGTGAAGATAATTTTGTAAATTTAAAAATAAAACATTTTATCATATTTTGTTTTTAGGATTGAGCTGGTTAAGTTACATCTTACATCTAATTAACACAGTTTAATATTTTGTTTTTATGATTGAGCTGGTTAAGTTGCATCTAATTAACACAGTTTAATATTTCGTTTTGTTTTTTCTTTGTTTTTTTAACTGCTACAATAATGTTACATTTTCCTGTTATTTCAGCCAAAAAATACGGCGTTGAGGATATTAGTCCTTCCGTTATTAACATAATTTCTCATGCAACTCAAGAAAGACTTCGAGACATTGTCTCAAAACTATCTACCATTGCTGAACATCGAGTAGAAATATACAAAGTAAGAACTAAGGGGTAGAACTTATGATGAGTTTTTGTTTAATTGTTGCTAGTTTAATGTAAAGAAGATACCAGACATAACTAAATGATTATTTCTACATTATTGTATGCTTTTTTTTCTTTTTTTTTTTTACAACTACAATTAACACCATCAGATGGACAGTCGCTACGAAGTGGAGTCTGAAACAAAGTTAAAACTAAAATTTCTAGAAGAGTTGGATAAGTTAGAGAAGAAAAGACACGAGGAGCAGGAAAGAGAAAAGCTTCTGAGGGCCATAAAGGTAACAATATTTTCAAGAGTCTAATGGTATAAATTTGATTCTGTAATTGCACTTAATAACTTTCATTTAGTGAACTAACCTCAAATTTTTTTCAAACTGCCCTCATTTGAAAGAAAACTGTGTTCATTGCACACTGCATTTAATTTATATTGCGCCCTGGTACATGAAATGTAAAATACAGGGATACTGATTGATTTGAAACAAAATAAAATATTCATATTTTCTTATTATTTTGATTTTTGTTTTGTTTCCTTTAGAGTCGCTCCAAAAATGAAGATCCTGAACAGCTGAAACTTAAGCAAAAAGCTAAAGAGGTAATTTAAAATCTCAATTTACTCTAAATATGTTTTTTTTTTTATGGTTAAGTTTTGTGCTCTTTAGTTTCTCAACTCTCAAAGTATGTTAGCGGACAGTTAAAATGATACTATCAATAAAATATGTTTGTCGCTGTTTTTTTTTTTAGATATTTTATTTTATTCCTTAAATTGTATTTTTCCAGTTTGAAACATGCATGAGTAAAATTTGTAACATCCTTGAGTTGTCTACACAAAATAAAATGTGAGAGATAAGAACACAACCACTTACTCATTTCTGTACTTTAAATAATGCTTTAATATTCCATCTTTGTTTTAGTTGCAACAAGCTGAGGCAGAGGAACTTCGTCAAAGAGAAGCAAATGAGACAGCTTTGGCTGCTATTGGACCTCGAAAAAAGAGAAGATTAGAGTTCTCAGACTCTGCAAAATCAGAAGTAAGAACTTTGTTGGGGACAACACCCCCCTCTTACATTATTCATCGTAAAAAAAAAAAAAAAAATCCTGATCACTTCATTATTCTCTTTAACAATAAATTTTATAAAGTTTTTTGTAGTTAGTAATTGGTAAAAATGCGTTTTCGTTTTTGTATTTACAAATAACTAAATATGAATGTTTTAATATTTCAGTCATCTACAAGTAATAATTCATTAAATTCAAGTGCCAACTCATCTCTTGCCAATGTAAGTAGCAAATCTGTCCTTTTATACACTAGATACTTTGCCTTTCATTATTTATGTTCAATAACTAATGATAAAATTTATATCTCAATTTACTTTGTATATATTGGATGCAGTTAATACAATTAATTTTTTTTTTAAAAGCCGAGCTATGAAATTTGACAGTGCACATTGTTTTATGACTCTGATGAAGGCCCAAAGACAAAAACTTTCTTTTATATTCTTTATTTATTGTCTCTGAATGCTATACAATAATAAAGCAACCCCTAAAATGGTATAAATCCTTTATAAAATGTAATATCAAGCAATGGGGATGACAATTTGTTAACACATGCATACAAGTAATGCATTTTAAAAGAATCCCAATTAGTGCTCTCCCCCCAAAGGCTTGCCACTGCACATTTTTTTTTACGCCACTGAACTCTATTAATATTCTAATGACCCACCCGCTATTACACCTCATTTTTATGTCACCAACCTTTTCAGAAAAACAAAAGAAAAAAATTACCATATTTTAAAAAAAAGAATCTCATTTAGTGCAGCTATAGGAAATTTTATTTCGTGTAAACAGTGTAATATTTCCTCCTTCATCTTCCCCTTGAAAAACAAACTTTTTTTGGGGGGGGGGGGGGCTGGGCATTTTATAGAATGTTTTGTAATTGGCAACGAGTCTATGTGCCAAATTTCAGCTTGATAGTGGGTCAATCTGCGGTCAGAAGATTTTCCCCTCAACACACTAACAAAAGCAAAGTTAAGATCCTTGATTTTTAAAAAAGATAGGTATAAGAGGATGATTAAAATGTTCTTGATATTGTGTTCTATCATTTCTAGTTTTCCAGTTTTGCTTACATTGTTTTAATTATTTTTAAGGTATTGCGGCCAAGGACGAAGAGAGTGAACCTAAGGGACATTCAGTTTTTGTTAGAAAATGAGCGACATACTAGGAAATCAGATCTTCTTTACAAAACATTCCTAAAATGATGATAATCTGTGACACGTTTATAAGAAAAGACAAAAACCATAATTCACAAGGAGGAGAAATTAAATCATTCACAGGCCTAGATGTGAATTAGTGTGTGCTAAAAAACCACTTTCCTACAGACAGTAGAGCAAACTGAAACTGCAGTCAACAAAGTATGCAAGTTTTCAGTGGCGTGTACAGAAGTGTTTTCATCCAACTCAAGGAAGCTACACTGAGAAAACATAATTTCTCCTGTACATGTAACACGAGGAATTTGCATGGAGAACACTTTTTCTCATGTTATAATAACAAAGACAGCTTCACTGAGGACGGCATCTCTCGTGTGCATGTCACACAATGAAGTTACACGGAGAGCACAGCATCTCTCGTGTACACGTAACACAAGCAAGTCACACAGAGCTCAGCATCTCTTGTGTAAATGTAGCAGGCACTCCTCCTAACACAGAGAAATGGGGAGGAGGGAGCGGTGGGGTGGATTTATTGTGACTTAGTCATCAACCTACCATCATGTGATAACTTTCAAAGTGCACACGGCTGCACTTATTGTTGGATGTGACTCCCTAAATACCAAACTTGTTATTTTAGTATCCTGGTAGAACTAATCAGACAGCCATGGACTTCAAAATAGTGCAACTTGTCAATTTGCAGCAAAGAAACTTTGAGAATATTTCTGTTTCCATAACTTAGATAGAAAGTTGCTTCAAATGGATGATTCACTCATTTAGTGCAACTTGAATCTGACATTTTGATGGCTGACATGAATTTCTGAAGCCCTGGTAATCCATTCAGTATTTCAGAATGAATGTGGGACTTTCAAACTTTAATCCCAGTGAGTTTCCTGACATAAAACTTTGATTCTAATGTTCACACAGATTGTCAAAGGAAGAAGGAAATATGTAGCATTGGGATCAGCTTAATATTTTGTTCACTTTAATCATTTGTTGTTGTTGTGAAAAGTATTTTTAGAGGTGAGATAGCAGCTCTATAGGTAATTATGAATGCAGTTGACTGTGTTGAACACATAGTGGTCAAATATTGTATCATATTAGTTTCATAGAAACATAGTGCTACTGTGTTGCATGTAAGTAAAGAGGCTTCAGAGTAACAAAGGAAAATAATTTTTCATGCAAAACAGAACCTCTGCATCTGGAATACAATGTTGTATTATAAAAGGTAATGTGATGCTGCCGAAAAAAATGTTGCCTTGAATTGTTGTCCTTTATTAATTAAAAGTGTATGAAAAAATGGCTAATAATAATAATTTCATGAATTAAATTATAATACACACCCGAAACAAATCAGAGCACTCTGTTCATTAGGTTATACTAATCCTTATACAGTGAGCTGGAACAATGTATCATCTAATGTTGAAATCGCAGTGGGTATGGCATCATTTGTCAAAGATTATACAGATCATGCTTTCATGATAGCAACTATATAAATTTGACTTTGGAGATATCTTTTGTTTCTTCAAAAAAGGTTTATTAATTGTAAGCCTTTTCATATGAGCGGTAATTATCCATGAGTTTCTCTTCCTTTGTGATTATGCAGAACTTGATTAACCTAGCAATGTTTGTGCAAGGAGGTGGCCTAGCTAAGAAGTATGTTTGAACATCCTTAAATATTATAATTCTCTCTTTAAAAAAATATCACGAGCCTTGTTATTCGAAACATTCCTTGGACTTATTCAGTATTTTCTTTAACTGTTACTTTATTCTTGTAGGTATATTATTCTTAGAATAGAATTTTATCTGCAAAAATGGTGACCATGGTTTTGCCTCCCCCACCTTCCAACCTCCCTCCTGCTCATCCCCAATAACATGACAGGACTGCCTAATTGTGATTTTAAAAATGTATACCATATCACTCCGATTTGGAAAAATGTTTGTGTAAGATACTTTCAGTATTTTAGTTCCATATCTGTGTGAGAATGGAAAATTTGTTGATGGCTCCATAACTACAATTCTTTTTTTCTGTTGCTGGTTTAAAAAATCTTATTGGCATTGCTCCTCAAATAGTGAGTTGGTGAGCCACTATATTTATTTTATGTTCTATACAGATTGCCACATGGGACAACATCACTGAAAATTAGTAACAACAAAAGTAATATAAATTTAGATCAGTAGCTCCATTGCGTAGATATTTAAATATCCATTTGATTATAAAAAAATGTTCATAACCGTTAAAAAAAAATAATTTCAAAACTAATTTTAAAGATAAATCAGTAAGAAACATTAAACTTCCTTCAGATTGGGGAGTACTATGTACTATGTACATTTTTAGGCATTTGGGAATTTTGCTCTTTGAATAAAAGCTGTCTTTACTTTAACATACACTTGAGTTGTTTACAGTGAGACTTAATAGCATTGAAGGCAGCTTGTGTATTTTTATAAATAAGTAAAATAATGTATTAGAATGCTAAGATGTCCCATGCCAGCAATGTGCATATTCAAAGCAGTGGTTTAAGGTTCTTAGATGAGATAATTTCTGCTGAGAGACTAAAGGTGATGTTAGATGTAAAATTGTCAATGAGATATTCCTAACACATTTTATGTCCCAATTTCTTTAAATGTTGACTATTAACTCTGAACTCAAATGTAGTTTTTAGTTTGCTTGGTCCATTAATCTAGAAAAAAAAAATGTTTTTCCACCCTGAAAAAAACTACTATTCAATGGCTTATGGGCTTCATTAGTTGTCATAAATTACAATAAAAGGGTGTTAAGATCCCTAGGTACACAAATGTCTTCATTTTTAAATCAAACACTTTGTTTGTTTAAATATTCTCTAGTAATGTGCCTTTCAACATTTAAATTATTACAGCTGTCGAAGAATGAATTTGACCTTTGTTTTTCTCTGTTCCCTCTTTTTTTTTAACTACAAAATAAAAGATAACCAATTCTTACTCTTTAGTATCCTGACAGACCTCTTGGAACAACAGCAGTTTCCAGTTGTAGTACACTTGTGTGCTTCTAGCACAGGATCAAGACATGTGCAAGAAATGAAACTTTCAATAATATTCTTGCTTTTTGTAAATCTACTAGACGAACCCAATGGTGTAAATAATTAATACTTAAATATGCAAATGTAAAACTAGCATTTTATACTTATATCCCTTTATTAAAAAACTGCACAAAATGTCAAAAAAAATGAGAAAACTAATACTTACACAAGTTATAATATCGTTTTAGACAAAAATACATTTTTTTTATTGTTTATATTGAAATACTGAATCATTAAAAAAAATTAGTCTTGTTTGTACTAAAAAATGTCAAACCCTCCTTTGCTATTTATCAGTGTTTTTTTCACAGATAAGCTGCTGCAGTTTGTGAGGCTTGTACTAAACATGTAATAATGCGCTGAAAACAAAATGCTAATGGTAATTTGAGTTGTAAAATTTTGTTAGTATTATTGGCTGGCTTATTTGTGTTTATAAGTCTTCAAACTAATACACTGTGCACCCAATGGTGTATGATTGGCTTGCCCTGCAGCAACAAGTCCAGCTCCCTCTATTTCACAGCCTTTTGTTTTAAAGCTCTCTATCTCCATTTCATAGCACCTTGTTTTAAAGGTATTAACCTAAAGTAGCACAGGAACTGATTCCTTATTGTAAGCCCCCTTAAAAACATAATTTGGGCAGAATAGAAAATATTTTATCATTACAACTTTCAACTATTGGTTTTTAACAGTGTTTCTCATTGTGGTTTATATTATATTTATGTAGGCCTGCCTCTCCAGTTTGCATGGTATATTTATTTCTTTACCTCAATTTTCTAGGAACCAGAGAAATAAATGAAAAAGTGGAAACAGAAAAATGCTAAAATTGCATCATGGCTAAAATATTTTTTGCTGTTTTTTTTTTGGCTGCCGGTTGCTATTTCTAAATCTATATCATCCAGAATCTTTATGTTCAGATTGGGATGATCTGTCTGCACCTAGGCTCCATTGCTGAAAAGTTACTCATAAAACATAGTTTAAGCAAAAGTTAAATTTTAACTTACTCTTTATCTAACTAATTAAACTGCCAACTAAGTTGACTGTAAATGCTAGACAGAAAAATGTGGGAGTGGGGATATAAGAATTGTGGTCAGAGAGTTCATTGGAAAATAAGTTCAAAGGACACAAAAAAAAGATGAGAACCTCTGTTACTTTTTCAAAATTGGACTGTTAAATCTCAAATTATATATAAAGGATATAACTACATGTGCAGATTATTTTGTTGTTTTCAAAAAGAATAATTAAATTCTTTATTTGTTCTTCATTTCTGAACTAGGCATTTAAAAACATAGATATTACCTTTCTGCTCTTCAAGGCACAAAGGGTGACAGTGACAGATGTTAATTCATGCTACAAAATTTTTTTTCAATTCTTATTAAAAAAAAAAAAAAGAAATATATATATATACAATTATATTAGAATAAACTTATGACGCAAATGTATTGACATTAAAAAATTTACAAAATGGAATACACAAAATTTTAATAGCAAAAACTTTTGTATTAAACAGTATATTTTAATCATACTCTTTTTTTTTTTTTTAAATCTTGAAACAATTTTATTGTTATTCAGATTAAATAAAGCTGTTTTTTTCCCATAGCTTTTAGAAAAAGTATGCTAACTTGTTCAATTTTTAAAAATGTTGAATATAAATGGTTGTTAATTGTTGACTCAATAATTGAATGAAATGAACTTTTATGACTTTATTTGTTGGCCAGGGTCAGAAGATAAACCTTAAGAAGGGAACATTTCTGTCATTAGTAAAATTAATCATATACATATATTTTAACATTTTTAACTGAAGAATCTAAAAATTAGCAAAACAATTTATTATCATTGGCTATCTCTCCCTAAACTGAACATTTTGTTTATGCATTTCATTCTTCTTGTAATTTATGATTAGAAAACAAATTACTGTTATTGTGACCCATTTTTAAATCACATTTTGTTCTCATTTATTGTTCTTATTTCTGTTTTTGCGGCAGCTTGCAATCCTGGACTCCA